ACTTCTGACGACGTTGCGTGAGCAGATTGCCGCCTCAGGTTTTGACTTGGCCGCGGCCGCCGCGGCCGCCGGGGCCGGGCATCTCCTTCCCCCACACATCCAGCCGGGATCTGCTGCTCTCGGGACGGATTTCGCCTTTCTCACTCCGGCAGGGTCCCTGGTGACCATGCAGCAGGAGGCCACTCTGCCAATTGAGACGGTGCGTCGTCGGTGTTTGCGCTTGGATGCTACCCCTCGTTTTCATCTCCCCCTCCCCTAGAATGACACTCACCCCTTATCCATCTCTCTCCCCCCCCCCCCTCTCTCTCTTCCCCCATCTTTCCCCACCTCTCTACCTATCCCCGTCTCCTCTCCGATGTATGTCACACAGATTGCCACCACCGATGCGCCGCTCGATACCGCTCAGCTACTGGCCTCGCATCTGGTCTCAGTGCGAGTGGCGCTCACTGGTCAGTCAGGTAGCCGGTTCGCGGCTGTTGGCGAGGCGGCTGCTTCGATGCATGGCCAGTCGGCGGCCAGTCCGGCTCTGCCCTACTTGTCGGCCGGGCGTCCTCCCTCCGGATCGCCGGAGTACGCTGCTCGTGATGCCGGTGCGGTGCCGCCGCCGCGCGAGCAGCAGCACCCACAGGGCGCCACGCTGACCGGACTGGCGACGGCGGGGCTGCCAGCGGCTTCGGATGAGCGCTCTGCCACCGCGACTGGGGCCTCCGGCTCGGCTCTTGCCCCGGGGTCGCCATCGAGCTCCGGCAGTCTGCCCGAGCACTTCACCGCATCGGGGTACCTGTGCACACAGCCTCCTCGGCGGCGCGACTCCTTCCTCCTGACTGGCGGGCCTGGGCAGTCGCCGCACGGGGGGCCAGCGTCCCATGGCAGCTACCCTTCCTCATCGTCGCTGATTGGGGACTTGCCGACCATCCGAGCCCTGATGGCCACCTCCTCCCCTCTGGCCAGCTCCTTCCACCACTCCCATCCGTCCCATCAATCTTCCTCCGGCCTTAGTGCCTCCTCGAGCGCGTCGGGATCGGGGTCGGGGTCGGGCTTGGCGGGGGGTCCCTTCCACCACCACCACCACCACCACCACCATTCCCACCACCATCCGCACTCGCCCCATCATCCCCATCACCCGGCGGGGGGTTTCCACGACTCGGGCAGTGCGTCACCCGGCCGGCGGCCAGTTCTCCTGGATGCATCCGCCGCCGAGGGTGGCCTCTTCGACGAAGCAGCAGCAGCAGCAGCAGCAGCCGGTCAGGTCAGATCCCCCGACGCCGCGGCCCCTGGCTCCTCCTTGGATACCAGCCTCACTGGTGGGGGCTCGCATCACCAGTCCCAGAATGCCCATGGCTTCGCGGATGTTCTCCGGCTGCCGGATGGCGGTGGGGCCGAGGCAGACCAGGCGGCCGGCGCCTCGGACGATGACATGATCCGCCACTACCGGCGTATGTCCGTGTCGCCGGTTCCCTCGGACCATTCGTACCCCATGTTTGCCCCGCCAGTCGGCGGCTTCGGACTGGGTGGCGGCCAGTCGCCGGTGTTCTTGCCGCAGTTCTCCCTGCCCGTGGGAGGGCTCGACTCGTCGGCGGTGCAGTCGGCTGATCCCCCTGCGCTCCATCACTCGTCGGCCGGCGGGGAAGACCCTGGGCCTGCCGGGGCCGCGTCCATGTCGGCTGCCCACCACCCCCACAATGGCGGGTACCCGGCGCTCGGTGGGGATGCTGGCGCTGCCGGTGGCGGGACACCACTCACCGCCAGTGGCGCCTTCCATCATCATCATCATCAGCAGCAGCAGCATCATCATCATCACCAGCTGCACCACCCGTACCACTTTGCGTATGGCACGCCGGCGGCTGGGCACTCGGGGCAGGCGCCGGCACATCCTCCGCAGTCGGAGCAACCGCCGCAGCACTTGCAGCACCTGATGACACAGCACCACTCCCTGCAGCAGCAGCAGCAGCAGCAGCAGCAGCAGCCGGTCTACTCGCACGGGTCCCCCCATGCCCATGGGCATGCTCTTGGCAGTCAGGTGTCGACCACATTGAGTGAGGGCCTGGCTTTGGTGGCCGGCGGCGGGGCCCACCTTGTCCCTGGTGCTCTGTTCGACTACAACCAGTCAATGCAGTGGTTGCTGGCCACGCCGCTCGACCAGTCCCTGGCCATGCACAACCCCAGTGCCAGTGGCACTGGTGCGTCCAACAATTTCCCCTTGACCGGGGACCCAAGCAATGTTGCATCTGCCGGGGATGATACTGCCCAGCAGCCGGCCCCTGATTCAAGTCAGGGTGCCCACTCGACCCCTGCTGCCGTCGCTGCCGCCGCCCCAGCAGCAACAGCTCCGGGCCCGGTCCCGGCTCACACCACGATGCAGCTTCTGGCACAGGCAGCCAACAGCCTGGCCGGGGCTGATGCCACGGTGGTCACCTCGCTGGGCCCCTCTGGGGGAGCTGCTGCCCCCACCGGCAAGCGTGCCCGGCCGGCGGTGGCGGCCACGGCGGCGGCGGCGGCGACGAATGCGACGACTGCCTCTCGGCATGCGGGCAAAAATGAACCCACACGCCAGCGGCGACGTCTTTCCCCGACAACAGCAGGCCGGACGGTCGCGGGGGACACGGCGGCCAGGGCGGCCACGGCGGCGGTGGCCGGGGCCAGCCCCCCCCTGCTTGGTGATGGCAGCCGGTCCCCTTCGCCCGGTCGGCGCGAGGACGCGCCCTCCCACCCGCACATCTCCACCATCGACCTTGTGCAGCAGGTGGACCAGGGGAATATGGCCAACACCACGTGTACCCTGTGCAATCGGTCCTTCTCCAAGCGGCGCGGCTTCTTGGAGCATATGCGCATTCACACCGGCGAGCGGCCATTCGTGTGTGACTTTGTCGATGTGGACGACGAGGAGAATCTCGATGACAATGAGCAGCCAGCCCCGCCACGGCCCTGCCACAAGGCCTTCCGCACGGCGACACAGCTATCCCGGCACCGGGCTCTGCATGTGGACCACAAGCCGTACCGGTGTCTGGTGTGCTCGGCGGCCTTCAAGCGCCGGCATCACCTTCTCCGGCACTACCTGACGCACACCGGTGCCCGGACCTTCAAGTGCCCGGTGCCCAACTGCGGGAACTCCTTCAAGTATACGGACACCCTGCGTCGGCACATCCTGCGCCACCGCCGGGACGGTCTGAATGTGCCCTTCTCGCCGGAGCTGTCGCGCATCGAGCCGGAGGTCGGCGAGGCCGAAGAAGCCAAGGCCTTCATTCAGCGTGTGCAGCAGCATACGGCTGCCATTGCCGCGACGGCCAGCCGCGCCGGCCCCGGCGACGATGTCCTGTCCTCGCTCGAGGGGGAGGACGAGGAGGCATCCTCCTCGGACGTGGCATCCGGAAACCCCCTCTCCGACAGCGAGGTTGAGTAGGGGCGCGCCACGCGCCGCCGCGGTGTCTGCACGATGTGTGGTGCAGAGAGTCACGAGGAGCGGCAAAACTCCCCTCCGTGGCTCTGCGTCACTGCGCGTCCGCGCGCCGCCCGCATGCGCATGCGCATGCGCATGCGCATGCGCATGCGGGCGTGCGTGCGTGCGTGCGTGTGTCTGTGCCCCCCCCCCCCCCTCCAGTCGGGGGGACGGACGCGACAGGGCAACTCGCCCGTGTCTGTCGTTCCCTCCCCTCTTCCTCTGACTCTGTTCCTCTCCTGCCTTCTCGGCTTGCGAGTTGCCGCGCTGCCGTGCCTTCCGTTGCTACTAACGCCCTGTTGCTCGTTTTTCATTTTTGTCCTTGCTTCCCTTTTCCCCTTTCCCTCCACACACACCCCTCTCCCTGGGCCTCATTTGCACCTTGTGTATAGACATTGAGTCGCGTGTGAGCGAGAGAGAGAGAGAGATCCCCCGTCCCATAAGCAGCGAGAGAGAGAGAGATCAGCGCGAGGAGACCAGGCAGAGATAGAGCGCCGATGTGCGAGAGGGCCAAGACAAGGGTGGCGCACCCTGTGAGGGTGGTGCACCTGGCATGTCCGCGCACAGGCAGCGCAATATGGGGGAACGGGGCAGGAAGCCAGGAGGGGGGGGGAGGGAAAGGGAAACAGATGCACGGGGAGGATGTGAGGCGGGTGGCGGGGGGGGGGGGAACTACCTCAAGTGGTGGCAGAGGCGGGCCTGTTGTCCCTGGGGCCGGATTCCAATGGTGTCACGCCCCCCTTTAATCACGGGGAAGATTAAGAACTGAATTCCCGACGACCGCCAGCTCGGGTTCTCTTCTCATTCCCCCCCCCCCCGGGGGGGGGGAGAACGAGAGTGGCCTTTCCCGCGCCGCCGCGGACGCCTGAGTCAGAGTCGGGCAGAAGACTCCCGGCGTTTTCGTGATTCCCGAGCCAGCTCGCCCTTGCCCTTCCCGGGGGCCCCAGGGCGCTGGTGCGGGTGCGGGTGCGGGTGCGGGTGTGTGTGTGTGTGTGCAGATCGGAGCACACTGTACTCCCCCGGGTCTGGCTTCCAGCGGGCTGGTCGCACCTCGCTGGTCCGGGAGACTCCCAACGGGAGGGAACGACGAGCGCGCGCGAGCGTCTCGAGCGAGGCGGGGGGGGGGGGGGGGGGGTTTTTCGACTTTTCTCGGGAGAGATGCTTCGGCCAATAATGCCCCCTGCTTGCCTCCGGCCGATTGCCGGACGCGGTGTTTCGCGCCGCTCAATAGGTTTCGGCGTCGTGGGAGGGCGGGCGTGAAAAGCCCTCGTCCTTGCAGATGGCCAGGACTCACCTGAACCGTATTGTTCTTCTCCCCCCCCCCCTCCCCACTGCCCGGCCCCCCTCCTTTCTTCTTTCCCTCTCCCTCCCCCTCCCTTTCTCCCCCGCCCCCTCTCTCCTCCGCGAAAGGTGCTCCATCCCACTCGCGCGTGTGCCTCTCCCTCCCCGCAGCCATGGCCGTGAATCTCGGCCTCATCCTGCCCTTCGTGGTGCTCCTCTGCGTCCAGATCGTACGCTGCGCCACAGCTTCACCGGGACATCCTTGCTTTTGTGACGCATCACCCGCGCTGACATACCCCCCTCTTGGCCCTGTCCCTGCACGTGCACCCTCGTCCGACCACTTCTGCGCGCATGTAGTTCATGGTTCTGTTCAATGTCACGGCCGGCTTGGTGCCGGAGAATCGCCTGGCCTACCTGGGGCTCATTGACCTGCTCTTCCCCATCCTGGCTCTCTTTGCGGCCACTCGCCATAAGTCCGGCCGGTCGTGGCCGGCGTCGATCATGCTGGTGGTGCGTATTCAGCACGCACTTCTCGCCTGCCTCCTCTTTGTTGCCCCACCATCACTCATCTCCACCTTTTCCTTCACCCTGTGCGGCTGAATGCACGCGCACGCGCACGCACGCACACGCACACACACACACACACACACGACCGTGCAGTACATCTTCTGGTGTTTCATTTGGACGGTGATGGGCATTCTGGTGATCTTGGTCCGTACCAAGGTCCTAGTGTACAGCGCGGATAACAGCTTCCTGGTGGCTCTGCTCGGGTCGCCGGATGCCGTGGTCCCTCGGGTGACGGAGATCGTCACGTATGTTTGCCTTGGCATTCAGGCGATCGGCTTCTTCTTTGGCATCGTTGTTCGCCTGCGCATCATCGCCGATGACGGCTACAAGGGCACCAGCAGTACGTCAATCATGTTGCCGCAGTCTTCTCGTGTGTCCGGTCCTCATACCTTTCCCGTCCCCTCGCCCCTGTATAATCAGGCTCCAAGTTCCTGTAAGCCAGCCCCCATTGCGCACCTTGCCGATCGATGCGCATGCATGTGTACCCGAGGGTGGCTGTGCCTCTCGCCTTGGTGTACACTCTCCACCGCGCACACGTGCGAGCTTGAAAATATACCCAAATACCAGAAATCCCCTCCTTCTTCTCTTCGTCCACCGCCCGCCTCCGGAAAGCCACGAGCGTGGGGGAAAAAAACAACAACAAGGAACAGCCTCCCCCCCCCACCCCCCCATTTCCCCCTCCCCCTCCCACCAAAAGGCATACACACATGTACACGGGTGAGTTTGAGGGAAGCAGTGTTTAGCCAGACGGTCATGCGGGTACATAGACACATACGCACGCAGGCGGCCGTCTAGGTGCGGCGACGTTTGTTGATCGGAACACGCAAGCGGTTTCCGGCCGAGTCAGTGCCGAGGCTGATGCTGATCGGCTCGCCAGCCCGCGGCGTGCCATTATCATTGAGATTGGAGAAAGCATCGGCATAGGGGATTGTCCGGTCACGGAAGAGGAACCCACGGACCTCTTCCACCGAGGCATCGCGGATGCCATCCCAGTACTCCTTGATTTCTGTGTTCGCCAGGCAGATTGCAGGCGATGGTGGTGGTGGCGGGAATTGCAGCGGCGGCGGCGGCGGCGGCCGCAATGATGATCGTGCAAGACAGGACGGGACAGGACAAAAATACCACGCGGTTAGTTTTGCACAGGCTGGATTTCGACTTGTTGCGCCGGGCCAATCGCACGGCGTATCCAACGATCAGTGCACACACACACACACACACACACACACACACACACACACACACACACACACACACACACGCACCCCGATTTACAGGCCGTGCCCCGGGCTCGGCATTGAAAAAGATGATGCTGCCCACCGACAAGAGGGTCCCGTCGCGCAGGCCCTGCTCAATGGCCTCCTTGACGGCTTCGCGGTCCTGACGAAAGTCCTCGCGCATGATGCCGTGCGGGCTGAGCGCTCGCATGAATGACATCAAATCCTCGCCGGTGCGAAGCTCCGGGTGTGTTCCCAGGAAGGAGAAGCGCTCCGGCTCGGTGCCGTCGGCCGACGCCGGCGTCGTGACGATGAACTCGTCCCGCCGGAGGATCTCCACCAATGGGTGGTTCTCCAGCAGGTGGTAATTCGGACACAGCTGCGACAGCTCCTCCAACGACAGGGCCACGTCCGGGCCGCGCTCCTTCAACTTGCCGAAGATGTCGTGTCGAGCGTTGTTCAGCTCCCGTTCCGAGAAAGGTCGGTACACGCCCAGGTCCGGGGCGTGTGTCATCGACTGGGTGGCCATCTGGAAGATGTGTGACATGTTTGCGGTGGGGAGGGGGGGGGGGACGGGGGTCGAGCGAGACCCGGAGGGGAAGAGTGTGCGAAGGAAGGGGGAGGGCAGCGAAAGAGAGAGGGCACCCGAGGGCTGAATGGACGACGGTAGGTGGCCAGGGCTGGGGGGGGAGGGGGGGGGGGAGGGGCTCTGTCCGCCCGGGCTTCACCCGGGGCTCTCGGGCCTGCTGGCCGAAAAAGGGAGCAGTGCGCCCCGCTCAGATCGCCCGTCAGGGCAGACGACTGCCGACGAAATAGTCTCCCCGGCCGGGGGGCCGTTCTGTGGGCGCGGATTGATTCCCCCATACGTTGGCAGCCGCGGCCGATGGGCCACACGGCTGCGAGATCTGGCCCGGCGTCTCCGGGACCGGGGGGGAGGGACACGGAGAGAGGCGAGACGGTGTGTGTGTGTGTGTGTGTATGTGTGTGTGTGTGGGGGGGGGG